CATTAGGTGCCATATTCTCTCATTTTCCTATGGCAATATATAGGCAATCTTAACACTTTATTGTTTTTAATAAACAATAATTTAATAAATTTGCAATTTAAAAAACAATTTCTGTCTTCAACAAAAAGCTGTGAACTCCTTAAAGGTGTTCATCCTGATAATGTTTTTGAATAAATGAAGGGTTACATTGGATTAGCTTTCTGAGTTCTCTTTTAGTGACTGGAATATTTTAAATGACATTTAAAAGGGGTTTATGGTTCTAAACACTTTCACATAAATAGTTTAATTCCTCAGAATGACCTTTTGAGATTCATGTTTTTATCCCCCATTTAGAGGTGAGGAAGCTGATGCTAAAGTGACTTGCCCAAAGTTAATAGTTAAATAATTTTACAGGTAAGATGCAAACACCACTGTACTAGTAGATAATTTTGCAGGGTAGTCAATCAGTGGCCAATTTACTGTTATTTTTAAATTTCACTATAATGTGGAAACTAATTATTATGTATCATAGCAATAAAGCTGGATTTAAACCACTATTAATATTTTGTCTATTTTTTTGTTCTTGTTGAAAGCACAGATAATTTTGTGGAAATATAGAGTAGAAATTTTAAAAATTTTATATGTGATTTTTGTAGTTTAGTGACACCTTTTGAATTAAGTCTTTTTTCTTCTTCTTCCCTTTTCATCATCCCAAATCCCTTTTAAAATAAAGGTCTGAGGGTCATTTATGTCTTCCTGTTCGATATACACATTCCTTCCCAGAAGCCTTACAGAAGTTCTATCGTGGTGAGTTCAGGTAGGAACTAATTACTATTATATAAATATCTTAAATGTGTGCCATTAAAAATGCTGTTAAACAGAACAAATTAGATAATATTTGGATTAGTTGATAGTTATGACAGTAGCCATAAAAAGTAATACATTAGCTGAGTCACAACCACATCTAATTTACCTTTTTTCTAGTCCAATTGGAACTATGTGGAGAAACCCTGATAAATGCCACTTGGCCTATAATGTAATTGCAAGTATAGAGGTTTTTCTCCTTTGGTGAGGTAGAGATCATGTCTCTACTTTCTTAACCTTGTTACATGGTCTTAGCAGTTTGGTAGAAAGATGGTTAAAATTATTGGCTAAAATTGAATGCTCAAATTCTCTGAGATTTTATATTTTTTATCCTCATCTTCTCCTATCCAGAGTGACTGAGGGTTAGATTTACTCCAACCATGCTCAGATTCTTGGTATCTCTGTGTTATGTATTAGGTGTTTCTTAAGTGGTGGGGATTTTTTTTCATATTTCTTTCACTTAATTTGTTCAGTGGTCAGACTACCCCAAGAAGAGAAGAGTAGAGGGGAGGAGCTGAGATAGGGCTGGCTGATTATAGTAGAGCCGAGTTGGACTACTTTTTATTTCCTGACTTGGACTAGATTTTTTCTCTGGGTATTTGGGAAATTGTATTAAATCTTCTTGACTTCTGGAGTTATTTTATTAATAATGATTCTAGTTTCTGGTCATTTCAGAACTGGCACTTCTACAAATGACTAATTTATAGCTAGCAAGTGGGAGTATGTTTTTGTATACGTATCTCACAGGTCTGTCCCATTGGTTTTTTGATGTATCAGTTTTTGGTTTTGAAATCAATTAAACCTGACTTTTTTTTTTTCCTTTACTTTTACCAGAAATGTCATTTAAGTTTTAGTTGTAATCTTACATGTTATATTTGTTATTGATCTCTTTTTGCTTTTATTGTAAAAAAAAAAATCATCATTGCAGAATTTTAGAGGAAGGATTTTTATCTAATCCAGCCACCTTAACACAATACTATTTTAATTTCAGAATGCTTTCTTTTTTGTATATGTTATATTTTTGGATGAGTAAAACAGTATCTTGGATTTAATGGATACTTGATAAAGAATTTGACTTTAATTCAAATTATTTGGGAGATTTTGTACACGTACATTAGATATTTTCATTACAGTTGCAAAGAGAAATAAACATCTAAATCTGTCTTTGAGCAGGAACCTTGGGTTTTAGGTATTTCTGGTATAATTTATTCATGGAATAACTAGTTTTTTAATAGGAACTTTTTAATTTGGTGAAATTATAATGCCTAATGCTTAGTTTAATTTATTCTATCTTGACATATCTTGCTTTTCCTTTACTCTTCAAAGGTGGCTATGGAGGCAGCGAATCAGGTTATACCTTGAAGGGACCGGCATAAACCCTGTCCCTGTGGACCTTCACGAACAGCAACTAAGTTTGAATCAACATAGTAGAGCCTTCAACATTGAACGAGTCCATGATGAAAGTAAGTGGATTGGGAATTAGATGCATTTGGGGCAATATTTAACTTATAGTTCCTTTGATCTCTAATTTCTAGAAATAATACTTTATAATTTTACTTCGGGATTTTAGTGCCACTGACAACACTCAAAACTTACGTACAACAAACTACTTCAGGTGTAAAACATTATAATTAGACACTGAAATAACAAATGTAGCATATTTCTAGAAGAAATGTTTTCTAGGATGGGTTTGAAAACTAGTGGATTAGGGANTGATCCACAAATAAAAATACTAAACTTGGCCAGAGTGCCTCTCCTATCTCTGCAGCTTGTGGCTAGGGTACAGGAGGAGGAATCAAGGACCAGAGACAGAATGACAGCCAGATGTTATGTGTCTCTTGATGGAAGAACATAACACCTATCAAGTATGTCCTTGCTATAAAAAAAATTAGGCCTAGTCTAGATCAGGGTTTCTCAACACTGGCACTATTGACATTTTGGACTACACACTTCATTGTTATGGGAAGCTGTCCTGTTTTTCTCTAGGGTAGTTAACAGCATCCTTAGCCCTCTACCCAGTAGATACCTATAGCACCTTCTCCACTTGTGATAACCAAAAATGTCTTCAGATAATACCAACTGTCTCCTGGGGTGCAAAATCACCCTTGATCTAGAGCCATTTGCTACTAGGTCTAACTACCAATTTATGGATTTAGGGGACAGATTAACCTGTTAAACATCATTCCAGGGATTACATGAGCAAAATCCAGAATGTGAAACACAGGACAAACAACCTAGATTCAATAAAGGAACAAAAGGGAGGGAACATAAAGATTAAGAGACTGTCAAATCAGTCCTAGCCAGAGCAATTAGGCAAGAAAAAGAAAACATTCAAATTGCAAAGGAAGAAGCAAAACTGTCACTATTTGCAGATGATATATATAGAAAACCCTAAAGACCACCAAAAAACTGTTAGCACTAATAAGCAAATTCAGTAAAGTTTCAGAATACAAAATCAATACATATAAATCTGTTGCATCTCTATAAACTAAAAACAAACTATCAAATTAAGAAAACAATGTCATTTATAGGTGTATCAAAAATAATAAAATACCTAGAAATGAATTTAATGAGGGAAGTCAAAGACTTGTATGAAAGAAATTGAAGAAGACAAAAAAATGGAAAGATATTTTGCGCTCATGGATTGGAAGAGTTTATATTGTTAAAACCTCTATACTGGGCCGGCCGAGTGGCACATTGGTTAAGAGTTGGCTTGGGAATGCCAGTTCTGAGCAGCAGGGCCCCGGTTTGGATCCCACATGTGGGCCAGTGACGCTGTGCCCTCTACAGCTAAGATGGTGAACAACAGCTTGGCCTGGAGCTGGGCTGCCATAAGTCGCCAGCGATGGCGTAGGCTGCAGTGGGCTGCCATACGCTACCGTGAGTGGCCGGCAGCTGGCGTGAGCTGCTGTGAGCAGCCGTCCAATGGCTGGTGAGCGACTGCCTCACCCGGGAAGAGCACAATCATCACAATACCAACATGGGCCAGTGAAGCAATGTCCTCCACAACTAGACTGAAGAACAAAAGGACAGCAACTTGTCTGTTCCCCTTCCCCGATTCCCCAATTAAAAAAATCTTTAAAAAAAAACCTCTATACTACCCAAAGCAATCTACAGATTCAACACAATCCCTATAAAAAATTCATGGCATTTTTCACAGAAATAGAATGAAAAAGCCTACAATTTGTATGGAACCACAAAAGATCCCACATAGCCAAAGCAATCTTGATAAAGAACAATATTGGAGGCATCACACTCCCTAATTTCAAACTATACTACAATGCTGTAGTAATCAAAACAATATGCTACTGGCATAAAAACAGACACATAGATTAATGTGACAAAATAGAGAACCCGGAAGTAAACCCATGCATATATGATCAATTAATTTTCTACAAAGGAGCCAAAAATATATAATAAGGAAAGGATAGTCTCTTCAATAAATGGTGTTGGGGAAACTGGACCACAATTTTACACCATACACAAAAATTAACTCAATAGATTATAGACTTTAACACCTGAGACCATAAAACTCCTAGAAGAAAACGTAGGCAATAAGTTAATTGAAATTGGTCTTGGTGATGGGTTTTTTTTGTATTTGACACCAAAAGCAAAGACAGCAAAAGCGAAAATAAACAAAGGGGGACTAACATCAAACTAAAGTTTCTGCACAGCAAGAAACCATCAATGAAATGAAAAGGTGAACTACTGAATGGGAGAAAATATTTACAAGTCACATACATCTGATAAGGGGTTACTATCCAAAATATATAAAGAACTCATACAACTCAATAGCAAAAAACCAAACAAAAAACCAATCCGATTAAAAAATGGGTAGAAGCTATTGATACATACCACCTTTTCTTTATCCATTCACTTGTCAGTGGACGTCTACGCTGTTTCCATATCTTGGTGATTGTACATGATGCTGCAATGAACATGGAGGTGCATAAACCTTTTTGAGTTCAGTGTTTTCATTACACAGACACACACACACACACGAATATTATTCAGCCATAAAAAATATCTTACCACTTGTGACAACATGGATGGATGGACCTTGACAGTATTACGCTAAGTGAAATAACTCAGATAATTTTAACTACAGTATTTAAGGAAAAGAGAAAGAAAAAAGGAATACAACTTCTCTGAAGTACTCATTTTTATAAAAATGTGTTTTATTTTAAAACAAGTCTATAAAAGTAGAAATCACATACAAAAATACAGATTACTCTGACATGTTAGCAAAATAGCTTATGGCTGGACTTGAGTTTGGAAGTACTGCATGTTTGAGGGCGTCCAGAAGTCGGAGTCCAACCGGATCCTATCCCCAGCCCTTGTCACTAATCTGTAAACAATAAGTTCAAGTAGTATTTAGCACTTTTTAACTACTACAAAATTGAAACAATCATTTCCAGTATAGCTACTTTAAAATGTTCTTTCTTAGGTACAGGCAGATAAGGGCACTTCAAAACATTGTTTCTAACATTTCAAAAATCTGATTACAATGTTAATAGACATGGCAAGTTTTGGCTTTTCTGTTCCATTTTGTTCATATGGGGAGGTCATCAATTTAAACAAGAAATTAGTGTTGTTGTTTTTTTAAAGTAGAATTGAACTCGCCTGCTTCTATGTGCCATTTAAAAAAACCACTGATGCTACAAAAGGTTCAACACCTGAGTTCACTTTTCTGCAGGGGCAAGCTGTGCTTTCTGCTCTGAAACTATGGGACACACACCTGCTTCTATTGTATTTGTGATTGAGAGGAACATGCAGTTCTTCTTAGGGAACGTTAGGTCCAGAACCTTGTAAAATGGGTAGATTCAAGCTACTATTGTGGGAGACACTTTAAAAAAAAGGACAATTTAAAGTACTTGATTCCAGAGTAATACAAAAATAACTTCAAGGACCTCAGCAATAAAGGAAAACGGGAGGCAACTTCATTCAGTTCAGCTTTCCATCCAGCATTTCAACAATTGAGACTGACTGGTTACTACCACCTTTCTAAAAAAAAGCAAGGCATTTAAAAAGCTCAAGAACCCATGTTAACACCATTTGATCATCCAGTTAGAAGACCACAATTATATCACCTCAGCTAATGTAGAGTTCTGGGAAACGAGTACATCAAAGGTTACTTCATCAGTGTGATTTAGAGGATACTTCAGATTAACCTGTCATAGAAAGCTGCCTTGCAAGCTTTCAAATTCTATGCCAACTCTATACCTCTGGCTGATTGGTTAGCTGGTTTTTTACTTAGGTTTTAAGGTGGATTTCTGAGGGCTATTTACTTCCAAGAGCCTAACTGCAAGTCTAAAGGCAAGGTTGAAATGTGCATTTTTCTTTTTTTATCCTCAGAAGAGATTGCCTCAACTCTAGTATCCTAGGATTCTTGCTCACACAATACAGATAGCTTATTATCCTTCCCATCTACGTCTTATAAAGCAATACTAGAAAATTCAATAGGAAAGTTAAGTTACCATATAGAATCATGAAAATGATTTGCTGGTGATACTTAAGCTTGATTCTAAACATTTAATAAGGGCACTGAAAGAGATGGCGCAAATTTTGCTCTTCAAAATTGCTTGAAATCACAGGCTCACTTTCCTAAAATTTCGTTAAGTTCTACACTTAGGCTTGTAAGGGCATAGCAGTGACAGAAGCTTTTATAGTCATTTATAAAAAGCAAGAACACACTTCATTGTTTTCTCTCAAATAGTTCTTGAATATACTTGCAGGATGAAGGCAACGGGAAAACCAAGAATAAAGATAGCTGAGTACTCTGGCAATTGGGCTTCCTGCCTATTTTCCCTGTCCAAAAGAAAAAAAAAAAAGGAGACATCATCCTGCAATAAATACTTCATAGACAGGTGGGCTTTTGCAATGTCAGTTGGCATTTGATGCCCCATATCTCCGGGTGGTTCTTGTTGCCAACGGTAGGCCTGGCAATGGTGGTAAAATGGGAACAATTGATCTGTAGATGAGGAAGGGCTTCCTTTAACAGTTGAAGGGTACCGTCTGGCACGATTCCAAAAACTTGTAGCGTTTTCAGTGTGGGAATTTCTCCAAGTTCACTGGAAAGGAAGAGAGAGACTTTCAGAGTCGCAGTATCTACGGAAACTGTTCCATTCGAGTTACATGACCTGGTTTTGACACTTGGGATTCTATTATATAACATGCACACTGAAAGCATGATTTGCAATCAATGATTTAAGAAAATAGCAAAGGTGAATCAGCACAGGCCACAGCTTGGGAAACGTGGCCTTAGGAGACGTGCCAGGGCATGTTGTAGAATTTCTAGCAACCTACAAACCCCAAGGTTTATTTAAAATCCAACCATATTTGCTGCCTTTCTCCATTCTTGATTTTTACTGAAAGGTGTTACTGTGTTATGAGGAAAAGCTAACAAGCTAGCAATGGTAAAAGTACATGTTTTACTGTGGCATCAGCTGGACATCACCAAAGGTTACATGCAATTTAAGGTTATGGACTTGACCTTAGGCTCCCGCTCTCAAAAGCTGTCGGCAGGGGTGACAGCTTACTAATAATAGTCAATAGTCAAAAAGTCCATTATATGTGATGGAACTTAACAGTGACTTCACTAAGCTATTTTGGACAGGGTTATGTAGTTGGGTACAGAGTGAGAAAGAGGGTGATCAGTCACACCTTTAGAGGAGGCAGGCAACAGCCATCAGACCTCTCTACGTATTACCATGTTTTTGTCACATAAAAGCTAATCCTCTTAGGTGTTCCACATGAGATGAAATACATAATAACTCTTATCAACAGTGAAATGCTGGTTCACACACACACACACACACACACACAAGGGAGCTTGTTTACCCAAAGTAAATACTTTGGGATAATGATTCTTCTTACCCCTGATCTATGTGCTTAGAAATTGATCTCTCTGATCTGTATTTGCTCCAGATTGGGACACACAGTACAAAGTCTCAGAAAAGGGAATATTTAGTTAAGAATGTCAACAAAATCCCACTGCAGATCAGTGAACATATCAATAACCTAGAGTTAGAAGCATCTTTTATGTTTTCATATTGCCAGTAATTACTTAAGTAACAAATTCCCCTTATGATAACTGACACCCTGCCTCCAATCTTTCTTCCAGCCCGTTCTATAGACCAATAGCCAAGTATCTCCCTAAAACCTAGTTCAGATTATGTCACTATCCTGCTTCAAAACCTATGATGCTTCCTTCGTGTTTAAGGAACGGAAACTGTTCAGCTCGCCTTAAGACCTTCCATGCCTAACCTGCTCACTTCTTGTTTCCACTACTCCTCTAAGTGTATTTATTCTACGTTCAATAGTGTTTTAAACACCAGAGACGTTTAATATATGTTAGCTGACTAGAGCATGAAGGGTAATTTAGGAAACAACAGTACTATCCAAATAAAATCAATATGCTCGGTGTTCATAAGGGGACAATAAGACGTGGCAGTCACAAACACCTAAAAGAAAATCAGAAAGAACACATCGTTGTTCTTAAAGTAAACAAATCTCTGGAATACAGAAACAGGAGTATAAAGAACGGTCACGATACACAGAGGGTTACACTTACCACTTCAGATGACAGCAATCCCTCCTAACCTTAAATCCCTCTTCTGGGAGATGTGAGTATATGAGAACTTTGTAATAACCATGGGAATTCTGGCTCTGGGACATCCACATTAGCCAAATCCTAAGTCATTCTGCAGTGGACAGTATTTAAAAGAAGAAACTGTAGGTGGGAATAAGAGAAGGAGATACAGCAGATGGCAGGAGAGGGTATGTTCTTGCAACAGCTCTGAGAAGGAACCCTGGTGAGGAAGAAAATTGTACCTGACTCTTAGAAGACAAAGACACTCAGGTGTTATATGTGAGGAGGGGATGAGCTGTATGGGATGAAGGATGAAGGACCATTTCCAAGCCGAAAAACCAGGAAATCATTAAAATTTTAAGGAGACCGAAAAAAAAAAGCCTCAGCAAACTAAAGGATAGTAAATAGAAATGAATAGTTTAAGAGGCATTATTTCTAATTTAAGAAGTATAAAATGTATACTTAATGTCTTAAGTATCTTTGTTTAGTTTTACAAAACAAAAGATATTTATAACCCCTTCCTTCCACAGGTTCACTCTACCTCATCTACATAATCCTGTTTTCCTTATAAAATCTTAAATCCCTCAGCTATAAATTCTCCTAACACAGGCGTTTCTATTTAGTCTTTTCTCATCTCAGATCAGTTTACTATCTCCAGTTTGAGTTTCATACTTGAATGGAAAATATGGAAAAATTACAAGAAAGTTTAGACCAATTAAGGAGTAAGGGGATAAATACAATGAGAATGTCTTGAAGAAAAAAAAAAGTAGTTCCCCAAATATTTTAAAACATTATCAGTATAGGAGAAAAGCACTCAAATTTTATTTTCCCACTTCTGAGTTAAGAAATAAATATTCTTTGGCATAAAATGGCTTTCTGGAAATCATGGCTGAGGATCCCAGCAATATGAGATCTTACTATGTATCCAAATACAACAGCTGCTAGAATGGCTGAAATTAGGGGGAAAAATATTTTATTCTGAGAAACTTTTAAGGACAGAGCACTAGCAAGCTCATCTCAACGGAGTCACCAGGGAAACCAGTGTACTATTTACACAATGCCTAAAGAAACATATTCTTTCACCTTTAAGTTCAATCAAGAACCGCATCTTTCTTCTTTCTGTTCTCACTCTATTCTGGTGGACTGATTTGTAATTAAACTTCTGATGCCCCTGTTTCTCTCATTTCAACACAAGAGTTAGACAAATAACTCATAATAATGCAGCAAGGGTTCACACCTAGGTTGCAACCTCAGGCCCCTGCCCTTGACCATCAATTCACATGCTGGTAGGTCTCACTAAGCAAGCGTTTTTATCCCACTGGATAAAAATGTTAAAATGTGGGGGCTCACAGTCTCCCCTTGGCTTCTGCTCAAGAAAAAGCATTTGGGGATTATGTGCTTAGCTTCCTTCTCTCTGCAGAGCAAGAACAAAAGTAAGACATGGATACATCCTCGTGAGAAAAAGAATGATCTCTGCACTCCCCAGGTGGCAAGGACAGGAAAGAGTGGATGACAGAGAAACCTTTCTGGGTAGATGCTAGAGTCTCCTAGGAGCTCTGGGTGCTACAAAGGGCAGGAGATTTTAATAAGAGTTCCATGTATGTGAATTTAGACCCTAACACCTAAGAGCCATGCAAGGAAATACTGGCATCCCTTTTAGGCAGTGCTTTTCCAAGTAAGATGCCAGCTCATGCCCTGAGCCCCAAGATTAATTAAAGTTATTAATTAAAAGTATAAATTACTGCACTCCCTAATTCTACTCGTTAACCTGTATAGCTGAAGCATCCGATTTATTCATTAATTCTTGAAACTAACTTATAAGATACAAACAAATAATGTGAAGGCTACATAAGCTCTTTGTTCAAATTCACCATTGTTCTTTGGAAGGAATCAGAAGCTTAATTATCTTCATTTGGGTAGTGGCTACCTGAGGTCAGCAGCCTCATTTGGGGCATAATGCCTAGAATAAGAGGGAAGGAGACCTGACCAAGTCTAAGATACTGATTTCCTGTGGTTTTCAAAAAACTTGCTATACATTTACATATGACATAAGGAAGAATTTTCCAGCCCTTTGGGATGAAAAAAAGGAAACTTTTTTTATAAATAAAGAGATGATATTATTCCCATAACAACTTGAGTATAATACTTCCAAAAAAAGAAAAAAAAAAAAAAGATGGACAGGATTCCTTTTTTCTTTGCACGCCCTTGATTTTGTGGAAGTTGCTGAGGAGGTACAAAATCAACCCTTGTAAAAACTCCCAGATTAAATAGAGATTATTCTGCATTTGAGGAGACCTGGGATGTAGACCCAGCTCAGCCATGAACTCACTACACAGCTATGGGTAAGTAACTTCACTCTTTTGGACCTCAGTCTCCCCCTCTTTCAAAGACAGCATCAGATTCTTATACTATTTCCACTTAAATATTTCTATTCTTCCCATCCATTGACCCTCCAGGATAAATATCACTAGAAGATTATAGAACTTTTCCTCTAAGCCCAGGTGAAGGCTTTTGGAGTCAGGGAGCTGATTTGACAAAGCTGGGGAAAAAAACCCCCCACAGGGTCTACCGCCGCAATTCTACTCAGAGCTCCCTGATCATAAAGACCACCTTTTCTAAGTCCTCCACAGACACTAGTGCAGTATTCTAATATTTAAACCTGCTCACAGCTAAATAATCGATGTTTGGGGAATTCTTTCAGTCAACTCTACCAGACATTTTAAGCAAAAAATTTTGCCTTGGTTTTTCTATTTTGCTGGTCTTTCCTAACCAGTTTGTGGAAGTTTTAAACATCTATTAATAACAACAGATTTTAACATGCAGAGACATCTCTTTGGGTCTCTGCTTTCTACTAGCTTTAGAAAACAAAGGGCCCGCCGAGTAGCTCAGTTGGTTAAAGAGCTCGCTCAAGAGTGCAAGCTCTGAGGAACAGCGGTTTGATGCCCAGCCCGAGCTGAGCTGCCGCTGAGCTGCCAACAGGTGGCAGGATGGCTCAGCTAAAAAAACAAAACAAAACAAAACAAAACACCAAAAATACTTACAGTAAAGTTTCAGGTATTATATCGTAGCATCGACTGAGTGATAGGTGTTGGAGGTAGTTAAGCTGGAAAAATTCCGGAAAGCAGTCATGCTTTAGCATGATACTATCGCTGTAAGAGAGCAGAAGAAACGATTCAAAACCTATCCATCAATTCCAGACTGAGAAGACAAAAATAGTCTACTACTTAGTTCCTTCAATTCAACATATTAGAACTTTTCGTTGTTCAATAAGCAATCAGGATTTTTCACTTTTTTTCTAAATGAAAAAATACCTTAAGTCTAGATGGACGAGGTTGGGGCATCTTCCAACTAAGGTAGAGACATCTAGGAAAAGAAACAAAGTCGCTATTAAACAAGGAATAAGACAAGGATATCTGCTCTCAATACTATCATTTACCATTGTGCTGTAAGTTCAGAATAGTCACACACTATTATAAAGAAAAACAAATTTATCATCTTGACATATAAGATTTTCTACCCTGAAATTCCAAGAGAATCACCTCAAAACTACTGGAAACAGTAGAGAACTATGTAAAATGAGTGGTTAACAACAATCCATAGCTCATGTATGTAACAGCAATAACTGGATGGGAAATTTTTTAAAAATCCCATTCATAACAGCAAAAGCAAAACAAAAAACCACTATAGTCATAGGCCACATAACAACGTCAATGATAGGCCACATATACGACGGTGGTCCCATAAGATTATAATTGATCTGAAAAATTCCTCTCACCTAGTGACGTCCTAGCTCTCACAATCATAGTGCAAAGCATTACTCATGTGATTGTGATGACGCTGGTGTAAACACACCTACTGCGCTGCCAGCTGTATAAAAGCATAGCACACACAGTTATGTACAGTACATAATGCTTGATAATGATTAATAAATGGCTATGTTACTTGTTTATGTATTGACTATAGGTTTTGTCATTATTTTAGTGTACTCTTCCCATTTATAAAAAAAAAAAAAAAAGGAAAGTTTGCTGTAAAACAGTATGCCGTGTTACGCATGCCAGGAGCAGCCTCATACACCTTTGGGTACCGCGTCTCTAGAATGCATCATTTTCTCTTGCACTTGATTTAATCTCATGTTGTTTTGTACACTAACAGGCTGTACAGGCTTGTGGCCTAGGAGCAAGAGGCTGCACCATACAGCCCAGGTGTGCAGTAGGCTGTACCATCTAGCTTCATGTAAAGATACTCTATAATGTGTGCACAATGACAAAATTGCCTAACATTTCTCAGATGTATGCCAGTCATTAAGTGGCGCATGATTATGTAAAACAACATATCATAAAGGTAGCACTTAAACTCGGGAGAAATCACAGCTTACTAAACAACAATATTGCTACCACAACCAGAAGAAATGTATTCCTGCAACTTAAATAATATATCCAAATAAATTCCGCATATTAAAAAGTTCTAAATGCAAAAATCCGGGTAATTACTCATTGGATCTTGGGATGGGTCAGGAGTTTCTAGACATAAAAGAAAACATAAAGGGAACTGATAATTTACTACATAAACATTTTAAAACTCTACCGTGTTAAAACAAATCACAAACAAAATTCAAGAAGCAACAGAAAACTGGGAATAAGAGTTTGCAACATACATTAGTTAGTGGTCTTATTATAAAAAGAGTAAAAAAGGATAAATAATAGAAAATGGGCAAAGAACATGAATAGATACTTTGCAAAATATAGATAATAAAAATGGAGCAAGAAATGCCAACTAAAATTGAAATATTGCTTTTTGGCCATCAAATTTAAAAAGTCTATTATAATACCCAGATTGATGAAATATAATAAAGCAGGTCTCCCCATGTACAAGTGGATATTTAATTTTATGCAGCCTTTCAGGAGAGAAAAATGACTTCTTAAAAAATAAAGTGTTCAGAGCATTACACACTTTGCGTTTTGGCTCAGTGGTTTCACTTTTAGAAAAACAGAGATGTGCATAGATATTCTTTGTAGCAACAGTTACAATAGTCCCTCCCCAATTAGTTTAATACGTTAAGCTTCCTCCATTCTTTGTTAACCTCCAGCCATTCTTCAGAACACAATGCTAATAGTAGTTACTAAAAAATTTCTAAATAATATCTCATGACCTTAAAAAAATACTCAGGATATACTGTAGAGTGAAAACAAAACAAAATATAATATATACAATGCATTATAATCTCAATTTAGTTAAAACACATTCACAAACTCATATTTACACACAAACTTACACACAAAGAAAGGGTGCGGGCAAAGCTGGAAGAACTACACCCAAACATTAAGTGCAGTTACCAAGGGTGGTGGGATTATAGACAAATTTTCAGAATTTTGAAGAAAATCACATGTGCTACTTGGTAATCAGAAAATGAATCAATAAATGTTATTTATTTTAAAAAACAGACAAGGTTCAATAATATTTGAGGTTGTTTTTTT